CAAGGACCCGCCAAGGATCGGCCAAGGACCAGCCAAGGACCCGCCAAGGACTGGCCAAGGACCAGCCAAGGACTGGCCAAGGACCAGCAAAGGACTGGCCAAGGACCAGCCAAGGACCGGCCAAGGACCAGCCAAGGACCTGCCAAGGACCAGCCAAGGACCCGCCAAGGACTGGCCAAGGACCAGCCAAGGACCAGCAAAGGACCCGCCAAGGACCAGCCAAGGACCGGCCAAGGACCAGCCAAGGACCGGCCAAGGGCTGGCCATGAACCAGCCAAGGACTGGCCAAAGACCAGCCAAGGACCAGCCAAGGACCCGCCAAGGACCGGCCAAGGACCCGCCAAGGACCAGCCAAGGACTGGCCAAGGACCAGCCAAGGACCCGCCAAGGAACCGCCGTCTGGCCAAGGACCAGCCAAGGACCAGCCAAGGACCCGCCAAAATCAACGGACTGTTGACATCAGGACTGGAGGTATCACTTTGGCTATGTTCACACTGCACAAAAGTTTAGATTTATATCGGATTCAGGACCACACAGCAAAGTGGCCTGGGTCGCATTGGAAAAATTGGATCGGAGGGGGTCAGGCAGGTCGCATATGGCCAAAAAAAATGCTATTTCGGTCACTGTGCGAACATAGCCTTTGTGAAAGACATCAGAGCAGCTCAGCGCTTTACAATGAGCATTACACTGAGCGGTGCTGTCAGCCGCCCCAAGATGGTGCCGCCAAATAACGTCAGCGGCCATAGGCGAAAGCCGTTGATGCGAGATCTACTCTTATATGTATGTCTATGGAGGCCTGTGCCCTGCTATTAAAAGAGTTTGTCCCGAGTGATCTCTTTTCAGGAAAAGAAGCAGGAAAAGAAAGCGTCAAGGTGGAAACATAGTTTTTCTTAACAAAATGGTGTTTCCTGCCCAGACCTGAATGAGATGTATCACTGATCTGTGTGTTTTAACAGTAAAGTGTCTCATTTAATCAAACTCTGCTCTACTTCTGTTAACATGAGGCTTTGACATCAGAATAAAAGGTGAAGCTTTCAGGCAGTTGATTAAAGCTTTGTCTACGTGCAAGTTTTGACTTTGGTGCAGCATCACTTTACCAGCGAGGCGGGACTCTGCAGGATGTCCTGTTTTACGCAGCGTCACTATGTGTAGTCAGGGTCCATGTTGGAAGTAGTCCGCTGTGGACAAGGCACTGCTGTGGGAGATTTTGAATGATGTGTATACTTAAGGTGCGTCACAGCTGTATGTTCTAGAAGTGAACTGGTCACCCAAGCTGCCACAGTGACTGATGCACGGGATCCCTCTGCGTCCGTTGTCTTACCTGTCTGAGGGCTCTGCTGTCCGCCGCGCGCCTTCTCTGCGTCATCACGCTTGCGGCCGTCCACCGAGCGGAGAGACTGGCTGCGGGAGAGATGGCGACCTTTGCCTAAAGGAGGATGAGGCAAGGCCAGGAGGGGGAGGAGGGGGCGGGGTTAGCAACCAGAGCTCCTTCATCAACCACTTATATTTGGGACACAACCGAGACGTGATTGGTCACCCAGAACAGCATCAGCCAAACTTGGGACTTGTGTTGTGCTCTTGGTGTTAATGTGTTTTTTTCCTTTGTGTATTTTGTTCAGTGGTGTAATGCAGGGGATAACTGCCTTAAAGTACATTTAAACCCATCACAGCTGCTGTGAGGAAGAGAAAAGCATCCGCCGCTCTGCAAAGAAGCTTTAAGCTGTCAAACATTTCAATGAAAGCACTTTTACTTCTCTTTGAATAACCTTTGAAAAATCAGCCAAGCACTCAGACGTTCAGCGCCTGAGTCCTCGTTTGAAGATTTAAAGAACTTGGAAAACATTTGGTTCTGTCATCCGTTGGACATAAAAAAGGTATAAAATGCCATTTTTCATTTGTTCATCAATCAAAGTCCCCTTTCCAACATGCACTCCTTAAATCGAAATTTTCAGACACGTAAACAGATGAACAAGTTAGTCAGAGAGATATGGAAAAAATAACAGCTTTAAAACTTCTGTAGCTCGGCGAGTTTCATCGGTGGAGAGAAGAGAAAGCATGGGGCGAACACTAACCCAGGCAGGACTGGGAGTTGCAGGGCCGACCTTCCTCCACTACACCCTCACACAGGAAAGACTCTTCTGGAGGAGAGCGACAGCTCCGAGCCCGGGATTGGATTCCTCCCCCACACTCACTGCTGCACTGCCCCCAGTGGCCCCAACCACTCCATCCACCTGCAGACACAAACACAACCCAGAGAAACGCTCATTTCTAAAACATTCAGAACAAAACTTTTCTCTACTAAACCTTTCATATTCATGTCCTCTGGGACTGGGAGTCTCAGCAGAGAGTCCCGGACTTCCTTCTTCCCAGACATCTCCTCCAGCCTCTCCTGGGTCGTCCCCTGGGCCTCCATCCATCGGGCGGTGCCTGGAACGCCTCAGAGGGAGGAGTCCAGGAGACATCTGATAAAGATCCTCCTCAGCTGACTCCTCTGGATGTGGAGGAGAAGCAGCTCTACTCCAAGTCTCTCCCTGATGTCTGAGCTCCTCCCCCTCTCTCTAAATCCTCTTTCCCACTGAAAATAGCGGGTTGATGCGTGTTTTTCAAACATGGGTCTACCTGCTAACAATGGCTCCCCTCCCACTGCCAAATAACTGGTCTAACCTCTTGCTGGCAGCTGCGTGGTCTCTGACCCCCCAACAGCTGCGTGTCTGGTGACATCATCACGCTAGGATAGTGTTGATGTCATCAGCACTACAGATATCAGGAAAGTAAACAATGGAGAGCAGCATGGAAGGAAACCATGGCGTAGTCCGTGTGCTTTATTGTTTCTTTCCATTATCTGTCTGAATCCGTCTCACCAGAGCTGCTCCATGTTTATCCAATGGAAACAGAGTTGATTCTGCTTAGATCAGAAGCAACTGGTGCTGTGTTTTGACGTCTTTACGATGTGTTCAATGGAATCTCGTAATTTAGCATGCAGGTTAGAGCCGAGGTGATTTTAACTCTGGTGCTTGCCGAGTCGTTTGACCCAGGTAGACACGCGTCAGTGAGCTGATCCCACTGCCACTAAAGGCCGATTGTTCCCGGGTTTAAAAAGGTTTTACAGTTTTTTAATGTATTTTACAGACAGTGGACAAACGGCTTTACCTCATGGAGATGATGACAGTTAACACCTACAGTTAGCAGCAGGCTGAGGAATGTGAATCGCTCATTTGATCCAGAGCTGCTCTCTGGAGGACCTTTCCTCTGTGTTTCTGTGTTAGTTTTTCAGTACTTGTTGTATCTGCAGTGTCTTTGCACGCCTCGGCCAGTTTGGCTGTTATCTCCTCATAATCAGGTGGTGCTTTAAAATCATTTTTTGGTTAAATCAGTGACTTTGTTAAAAACATTAAAGACATTGCTGAACAGTGACCCTTCCTGTGAATTTTTCCTACATAGCACTTAAATCCTCTAAATAAAAATCTATGACCACGGTTTCCCATTTTCACAATAACAAAGGTCAGATTGAGAAACTATAGGAGACCTTGCTGCCATCCATCACAGCCTGGTGTCCAAAAACTAGTTTCCAAAGTTCCAAAGAGCACAAAAGGCATTAAGGCAATCATCAAAGCAGATGCACGGAGGATAAGGCAGAGCGTGAGCAAACACTATGAAACTAAGCTGCAAGCAGATGAAACAAGCATCACAGACTGATGCCTATCTTGCAGTGAAAGAGCATCTGAAGGGAGATTTTTTTCCCTGTAAAAGCATGGTGTGATGAATGCCATTGTCATTGTCAAATTCCCTGTTTGGCCATTCTGACTTAATGCTGGCCATTAAGATGTGTGCTGATATGAGGAGGATGGGCTGAAGTGCTGCTGAACGACTCTGCGTCCTGCAGGCTCATAAATGTTTAATGGCACAGACAGATGCCTTTAAGCCCCACAGGCAACCACAAATATGTATTAATCTGCATGAATAGAACATGAAGTGGCCCACATCCAGGTGCACAGTTTTAATTACTCGCAAATCAATTTCCTTTAGGGGCGAGTGTGGAATGGGGGGGCACTGTGAAGAGCACTTGATCAGTGCAAAGAGTCATGAATAGTGTCACAAACACATGTCTGTCTGTCTTTATAAGGACTTTGCATTAATTTCCATTAATTTCTACATTCTAACCCAGACCCTGACCCGACCCCAAACATTAGCGACGCCATAGATGGACAATCATTCAGCATCAATACATATAGGAGTATAATTAAATCACATAACAGGGATATGACCTTTCTAATATTCTACTATGATCACAGTATTTGTCCCTGAGTGACGTTCTGGGTTGGTCTACTTTCATTTTTCTATTTTTCGATCCACCTTTTCACCACAGTGCAAATATAAAGCCATGTCATTTTATAAAAATTAGCTAAAGCTAATTTGCTTTAAAAAAAAACACCTAATTTTGGGTTATCCTCATCTCTTTTGCATACCCAGATGAAAAAGCAAATAACTGAGGTAATTTGAGCCCAAATTACATGTGTGATGCATCATTCTAAGGCTAACAATTCCTGAAAATATAAATTAACATATTGTGACTAAAACACAGCCTAAACTGCTTTAGTTCAAACATGACTCCAATTTGTTCTATTTTCTTCTCAAAAAATGATAGTAATAACGACATGCTTGAGAATAGGCAGGTCTCATTCTATTACATTTGTTCTACATCATGTCACCCACATATGCAGATTATTTCAGACCTCTAGCTGCAACAGTTCCAGAGCTGTGGGGCTTTGAACCTTTGTTGTCACCAACGTCTCCAAAAATCTCCAGATTGTGCCGAATGTTTTTACTCAACTATTTGACCCATAGAATAACACTGAAGCATTTTGATGGCCACAAAAGATTTATGAAGCAAGTTTGTTTTTATTTTTTTTTTTCATTTTTATCCTAACATTGACTGGAATATTAAATTCA